TCCACTAACATCTGTAGGATGCTCGTATCTATCAACTACCAAATCCCAAAGATCAACATCATGGCCTAGAAAGAAACTTTCTAGCCTGTCTTTCCAATAATCAAATCCTTCACCGTCAAAGATGGGAGGTTTAGCATTGTAGTTGTCTTTATCATTTGGAACTTGAACAACTTGCGGTGGTGGAATGGACATAGTGTTTCTAAAACATCTGGATCCTTATCTGACATGATTAAGTGTTTGATAATTATCAATACAGAAACTAGAGCTCTGATGCCAATTGAAGGTGCAAGAAACACAAGAAAGGGGGGGTTGAATTGGGTTTCTCAAAACAAAATTTCTCGAAACTCAAATACCAACACTTAATAGAAGAATAAAAATAAATTAACAAAATTATTTTTATTCTGGTTCGTTGTTAACGAAGTTAATCCAGTCCATCCGCCAAGGTAATTTCGCCTTCTCAATAAGGAATTAATCCACTATAACCAAACTGGTTACAGAACCACAACAAGACTAATCGCCATTGTTGCAAACCACAAAAACCAACTGTCAATGTCTTCTTGAGAATCCTGACTAGACCTCTAGTCTCTCAAGGAACAAAACCTCAAAGATAAACTGTCAATGACTTCTTGAGTATACAAACTAACACTTAGTCACTCAAGGAACAATCAACTCAATGTTGAATACAGATTTTTTGTGTTTACAAGATTTCTTCTCAAAAGCATATTACACAAGATTTAAGTACAGATAATAACACAAAAGTGTTAAGCAACTTAACGAACAAAACTTCCTTGCTAGCAAGTTAACGAGCAACAACTCCTTGCTTTACAAAAATTACATACTTATTTTGGAATCGTTTCAACAACTTGAATCATCGTGAGTTTCTTCAAAGTTCTTCAACAATTCCAATTCTTCCAAGTCTTTCTTTTATAGCTGGAAAGAAATTCGTTGGAGGGTTGAATAGGAATATCAAAATTCCAGTTGTCTTCATGCAGCAGTCAGTGAGAGAGTGGTAGAAAACCTAGTACAATAGTATTGTCCTTGCGCCATAAAAACAAAGTAATGGAGGCGAGGTGATATTGTACCTTGTATTATCACTCACGTGAAACCTTTTATTCTTATCTTCTAATCTTCAGAGGCTTCTGGATGTATAATTCTTGAAGCATGCGTAGAAGGATCAAAAGTCTCCAGAACCATGTCATCAAAGTCTTCAAAACTTGTTCAACTTGAACCTTGCCTTCAGAGTCTTTAGCACTTGGTATTTAGAGTACTCACAACCTTTTCTTCAGAGTCTTTAGAACTTTGTTCAGCAGAACCTTGTCTTCAGAGTCTTCAGAAGTTGGTCTAGAGAACTGTTGGTCTTCAGAATCTTCAGAACTTGTTCAACAGAACCTTGTCTTTAGAATCTTCAGAAATTGGGTAAGAGAACTTGGAATCTCTAGAGCTTGAGAACATATTAGAAGCTCTACTATAGAGTCACAGTTAGAAGCAATAAAACTAAATTTCATTAGAATCATTATTTTAAGACGCATTATAAGCTATGAAACACAAACTTGTATCCTTCAGTGTGTTGAGTTCAGAATCTGATGACGTCACACATCAATACTTCATAGTTATAATCTGTTAGCAAAAGCTACACACTAAATAAGCCATTAGGGTACTAAATTGTTATCTAATTACCCATGTAATGCTATCATCAAAACTCAAGGCCAGATACATAACTAAATCTTGCTCTTACACTACCAATGTTGAATAAGTCTCTTAGAGTCAAGAAAGACGAAAATGAACACCCTGTTAAACCTAAACTTCTCCAAAATGTTTCCTTGTGCAATGTCGTGTTAAATATAAAATTGATTTTTTTTTAATTTTAGATGAGGCGCAGAGGAAGTGGTTGTAAAATAATTTGTCCACGTGAAGGTGTACGAGGAGGAGCACTACCTGCTCTAGACATATAGAAAGAGGAGGTAGCCAGACTTCAGTAGCAGCCACTTCAGTACCTTGGCAGATCGTACGACGTGTCTCTTCTCATGCGGTACGAGCTCCATGTTTCTCGTCATTTATGTTACTACGAGGTAAGTAAAACTCATACACTTTGTGTTGAATAATCTTTAATATATTTTTTATCTTTTAAATTTTTTTCAGAAAAAAGGTATGAAAAAAGAACTAAAGGTGGATCCACTTAGAAGTAAGTTGAAAGATTATGTTCCAATATATCTCATTTTAATGATTAAGGGGTACTTGAATGGCGTTGGTTTATCTTCACTCCATAGAACCAGTGTGAGTAGGGTAGATCAAAATCTACTATATGTATTTGTAGAGAGATGGCATCTAGAGACATTGTCATTTCATATGTCATTTGGAGAGATGACCATTACCTTAAATGATGGTTCTTATCTGATACACCTCCCCCGTTATGGGTGATTTTGGGGACCTCGTAGAGGTTATGACTGAAGATGGTGTCGTTGATTATGCAGTTGATTTTTTGGGAATGGGTTTAGAGGAGGCAAGAAAACAAGTTCGTATGTGCATGGGTTCATATTATAAGATGGAATGGATGGTCAAATTATTTGTACGTCGTTGAGATGCTAATAGATTGGACGGTGCTACTCGAGCCTACAAGATGATGTTGTTTGGTGCTATTATTTTTCTCGACAAGACTTTTATTCTTTTGGAGGCAAGATATATGCAGCTATTTAGGGACTTTCCTGATTATGGTAGATATAGTGGGGGATAACAGACTTGTCACATTATACATATATTTAGGAGATGCTTCCATGTTTACGTGAACACATCTCAACGGATATGCCACTCTTCTACATTTATTTTTCTTTAGTTTTTATATTTTTATTTATTATTGTTTAATTATATTTATTTTAATATATAATATTTATGTTGTAACCGTGTTGGATTCACGAGTACTTCATATTATTGGTAAGAAAGATGAGTCTCGGGTTGTGGATGACGGTAGTGGACTTCCACGAGCGATGAGATGGACGTATAAGCAATGGTTAAAGAAGGTTGATGAGCTATCTTAGATCTAGGCAATGTATACCGCCTCCACCTCCCAATTTTATTACACTCGATGTTGACGTTGAGTGGATTGGATATCATTTCAACATGCTTGATGTGGTTTGTCTGACATGTGTGGCTAATACCCTGTTGACCCTAGATACCTAGAGTAGTATTACAAGATATCAAATCCTCGGTTGGTACCGCCCCTTCAGGATGAGCTAAGAGTGGATGATTCTTGTCTATGATGTAGGATCGTCAAATCACTGGTTATCACATATTTCATAGGAACTTCATCTTTATCTGCAACGATTAGGTGATACTGAGGAAAACCTTGAGTTTGCAGAGATATTTCGAGCATTAGGCTATGCTCATGGCGGTCCATTACCATGATTTACGTATTACTATTTTGAGATTTATGTATAACTATTTTGAGACTTATGTATGACTATTTTGAGACTTATGTACTATTATTTTGAGTCAATAACATCTTATATAATATTGAGTTAATAATTTCTACTACAATGTACTAATTTAAGCTGACAATGTTTGACATTACATGTTTAATCTGACAATGTTTGACATTACATGTTTAATCTAACAATGTTTAACAAAAATATATATAATTATTTGAATTCAATGATTTCGATTTATAAAACCAATGCAATAAACAGAGATACTAGTTGAATTTGATGTCATCATGAGAAATAAAGTGAGACTATGATACTCTAAACAGACAAGAATGACGTTTTGTCAGACAAAACAGAAGCGGGTCATATTCTTTCTCACATTGCACACGTGAAAATTAGAATATAAGGTGTAATAATGTTTATGTTAACATTTGGCTGCCCTTAAATTAAGTTGAATAAGTATCAATCATATAATCAAACAATATTAAATAATTTTCACTAAAAAATATCAAAGATTATTTATTTTATATTAAATATTATTTTATTTATTTTTAAATTAATTAATTTCCACTGTCCTTAAATCATTTATCTTAAATTAATAATGTTTTAATCTAGTTTTTTAATTAAATAATTTATGTTAATGAATGTTATTCAATGGTGATATAAAGACTATTTTATCTATTTTTTATATTAATAATAGAAAAGAAAATTTAATTTATATAAAATTAAAAATATATAATAATTAATTAAAAAATTAATCAGAAAAATTGCATATCAAATAACTTATATGTAAGTTATCTTGAAAATTATCTGATGAAGAGAAATTACCTATTGGAAAATCATGGGCAAAGTTATCTAATACATAATGATAGGGTTAAAAAAATTTCATTTTCGAAAAAGTTGAATATGATGCTAAAAATTAAATAGTATAACTTTTTAATAAATAAAGGGTAAGATTAGAGGATTTTGAAAAATGTAGGGGTGGGGATAATAGTAAAGGTATGTCATAAAATTTACCAAAATCAATCAATACCCATGAGCAACAATTTAAAGACCCAACACATCTTAAAACTCATAGAAAAAGAAACACAAAATTGGCATTTAATTTGTAAAAAAAAGCATCTTAAAGATTGAAAGGAGGATGTGAGCAAAATCTAAAGAGAGGAGAATGGAATTTCAAAACGGCAGTGTATCATTTGGATGAAGTTTTTTTTTCTTTCAATTTCCATGTGTCGAGAGAACAAACAAGAAGTTTCAGTAGATGTATTTCATTGAAATATGTTTGAAGATTTGTTGGTAGATTTACACTGGGTGCTTTTTATTTATTGGCCAACAGAGAATTTGTGAATATATATTTGTTTGTTTTTTTTTACACATTGTATTTAAAATGGGTTCAAATACATCTTTTAGGATCTCAAAATGATGGATGGGTTTGAGTATATTTGTTGGTACACAAGAAAAGAAAAACCCATGAAATTAGTGTGACAAAACTAATGCAGGGATAAGGGAGGGGGTCATGTCTTCAACACCATTCACAACATATAGAGAATCAAACCGTGTTAAATGAACACAAACATAAAACTTCTATGAGGTAGAACTATCTGACATGCGTTTCAGATCCATCTCAACTTGGTCTATTGTCCATTGCATGTTTTCCAATTTCTGCACAATTTCTCATAAATGTAAGAATCTTTTTAAAACCAAAAGATTGTTTCTATAGGACATTGAAATGATATTAAAACATGGCGTGTATTTGGTTAACCATTGTTACCTTTACAATGTCGTGGTACTGGCTCGCAATGTCGTCAAAGTGAGGATCGACACCCTGGTACTCACGCAGTCGAGTAACCTGGTACAAAGGTTAATATTAATACATATAACCAACACATCCATGGTGACCTCTAAATCATCCAAATGAGAAAACATGCATATGGAAACGTACCGCTTTATTATATGCAATAGAAGCCTCTTCAGTAGCCTCGACGAGATACTTCCTAAAAGTTGAAGGAAGTGGCAGATTAAAATTAAATCAGGAACTATATACAGAGTTACCAAGGTTTCATCACTCATACCTTATCTTATGAAGGGCGGGTATAGACTCCTTAGTGTAAGTTCCGAGGAGAAGAACATTTTCTAAAACGCTGAAATTGCAGATATCAAAATTATTAGATAATTCAAACAAAGTTTTAGAGTAATTTGTGGATGAAATATCGAATCCATTTTACTACAAATTCAACAATCCATGTTATTTACATCATGCAGCTTGGCCAAAATGACTAAAAGTTTTGATCAAAGTTACTATTCAAATAAGCAAAAGTTATAAACATGTTTAATTATTGGTTTAAGAAACGATTTATTTCATTGGTGTTTCCTGTTGGTCTTCCATTATGCATGAAATTTTCTCAAAATCTAATAACTACAATGTGCATGAATAAATTCAAAAATAACATACAGTATAAATTTTTAGAACCAATTTCACTTTGCCTTTCTGTCATATAAATCATAACAATATTTTGATAGCAAGGAACAATAACAAGATATGAGATAAGAGGTAGCAAGCAAACCTCAATTTTGCGCTCATGGTCTGACATCTTTTACAGAGCCATGTTTTCTGCATCTCATCCTACAAACATATTTGGAAATCAAGATGTGTCTTTAGCTATCAAAATAGTCGACTATGGTGAATAATAAAAACTCACATATTTATGTTGATGGTCCAACTTCAAATCTTTGACAAGTGTAATGAGCACCCCAAGTATCTGTTCCAGTACCTGATTAAGAGAAATGACATCAACTATCTACACTACATCACCACATACACAAGGCCAAAGTGTAGATTCAACTATCTACAATGTAGACGCACAACAAACCACACATGCAATCTCTCTCTCTCTCTCTCACTCACTCACACAGTGTAGATTCTGTGTGGGAATTTTGAGAAATGTTTGTGTCAGCAAGAGAGAAATGTTTGTGTCAGCAAGAGAGAAATGCTTATGCACGTACAGAATAATATTCAGCAAATTTTCTATCAGCAGAATAAAGGTCATCCCTCAGTGCTGCTTCTTCTCTTTCGATCTCCTCAATCAACAACTTCACTCTGGTAAGATAACAAATATTAGAGAAAGAAACTTCTGTAAACAGATATATTTCTAGTATCAGCGTACAAGTACCGAAGCATGCACTTCACACATTATTGCTCTCCTACTTCATTAAAGAAAACCTTTGCCATATCAAATGTTTGTGGTAGCATAAGACAAAAGCAATGGCAAATATAAGCCAGATCCGTACTAAAAATATTAGTAGTACCACATTGAATAAGATCTCACCTGAACATGTATGTGGCGGGTGGGTAATTCTCACTTTACAAACCGGTTTTGTAGGGGTTGAGTTAGGTCCAACACAAATAATAGTAATTAAAAATTTCTTTTTATGTCATTTCATATTAATCAACTAGTACAAACGCGAATTTTACCCAACACTACAAATTCGCTATAAGCCTACCCGCCATCAAAATCACCCCCGCCTTGTGGAGATATAGAAACCAAAAATGAAACAAATTTTGATTCATATAATCTAAATCAAGGAAACATTGAGTATATAAGTCATATCAGTTGAGTTATTCATTTTAATCAATAGACTGATCTAAAATTGTATGAATAAAGATATGACCTACTTCAAAATCTTTAAAATAAAAAAATAGACATCATTTTTTCGGTCATTAAATTAGAATTGATTATTTCGCCTAGGTTGTTAATCTCGGATAGCGGCGCGTGGCGCCGGACTCCCAAAATGTTATAGCGGCATAACGGATAGCGGGATGACCGCTATTGTGAGCTCTAAAAACCAAGGTAAAGACTTAACAGTAATACATAAATACTTAAAATAAGTTCAAACAACATACATAATGCCTTAAAAACAGAAGTTGCAAAACATGCATAATTCCAACAACACCACAATATAAGTTCGGATCAAAATCAAATTAAAAATGTGCCCAAAATGACTAAACCCAATTCTAAACGTAAACAAACTTAAACAAAATAGATGTGAATGGTCATTACTGTCACCCTATGTCAATATTGTCACCGGTAGGTTTAAAAAATTAGGCTACTTGAATAAGCTCAAACCTTTCTGGAAGCCGTGAAGTTGAACTTTGACTTCCAAATGATGATGAATCTGAATCAAGTAACAAGAAACAAGGTATCAGCTAGCAGAACCAAACTATAAATCAGAAGAAATCGCGATTGTGTCCCCATATATATCAGAAATCTGCAATTCACACTTACCGTTGTCTTCCAATACAAACGCATCTGATAACTTATCACATTTCATTTTCAAGCGAGCATCTACCTCCCGTGAGAGAGACATACGATATTCTGTCATATCCTAAAGATATTGTTTGAGTCAATAATAAAAAAACATAACCAAGCTAGCTATTCACTTCAAAATAATAACTATCATAAAAAATACTAAATCTGACTTTCATATACTGTGATTCACATATTATACCACAGATAATGGCGTTTTCAGATGCTGAGTCTGCCACAAATAAGCCGGTGTAATTCCAAGAAAACGATTGGGAACACCACCAACTACAGGGTCTACTTGATCCATAGAAGCAAGAGAATAATTAACCCCACTAACAGAGCTGTTTGGAGTGGCATAATTAGAAGAACTCAAGCTCGGGTTGTTCACAGCACTAGTGCTATTACTGTCAAGGGAGCTTCGAGATACTACACTTAGCTTTTCAATTTCTTCATCATGAACTTCTCCATCTTTGGAAATAAGAGGTAGTCTCAATCGCTGAGCCGCTTCAGCGACAATCATTTGATGTTCTAATGTCTGATAAACCTGACAATATATCGACATGTTCATTTGATTCAATAAAGACCGGTGCCCTAGAAACACATATAAGCACATAATGCACAATGCATAAATATGAAAGCATGAAATATCAAGAATCAAAACAGTAAAGTAAAGAGATAAAGAACATATTCTAACAATCAACATCACGCTCATACAGGTAACCTAAGATGTATTCTATTCTGCTTTCAGAAATCAATATCTTCATTATTACGCTATTTAAATATCAATTTCATTCGCGTAACCAATGATTAAAGGTATGAAGGGAAAAGAGATGATCCATATAATACTCCACTCCCACAAATAACATTTACTAAAGAGTTCAAATGTTATCTTTATGTTGATGACTCAAATTTTCAAGTACCAAAACCGACATCATTCTCACATGGGTCTCAAATTGGTTTTTAAAACAAGCTAAATTTTCAGTAATAATATTTCAAGAACCTGAGGAGAGTTCCTCAATCCGAACTGCGGATAAAGACCTCCAGTATCTCTCATTCCACCGATGCTAGACACAGAAATGGCTTGATGATACTCTTCCACCATTGCAATAGCCTCAGAATATATAGCCTGCAACCAAATCCACCACACCAAAAGTATAAATCCTTAAAATAAGAATCACATTCACACTACACCTAACAATTTAGTCCTGTATAGAATGTCTCAAATATATACCAAGATATAGACTTATCTTTCCAAAGTCCTTCCCTCCAAAACTCTCCATCCAAACATATCATAAGAGTTTAATTAGCATATATTACGCTATAAAGTAGTTTTACCCAAACATTCAGTGGGACTCCTTCAACTTTTTGGTCAAATTATCAATTCTAAAATACAGTTATAAAGGTGGGTATACTGTGGCAAAAAATAGTTTCAATCATGGTTTTAAATTGCAGTCCGCAACCGGAATTGTGGCCGCAATATTGCTGATGCACAGTAGCCTCCACAACTGCATCTGACCACAAATGCGGTGTGAATTAAAAACATTTCTTCCAACCGCCATTAGAAATCACATCAGACAATTTCGCTCATTTTCCTCACATATTTTCATCAAAACTCAAAATTTCAGAGCGGCTGCAATATTGCTGATGCAGTAGCCTCTACAATATTGCTGATGCAGAAGCTTCCGCAATTGCATCTGACCACAATTGCAGTGTGAATTAAAAACATGCGTCCAACCGCCATCAGAAATCACATCAGACAAATTTTGCCCATTTTTCTTCATGTATTTTCATCAAAACTCAAAACTTTAAAACCCAAAACCTCAATTTACTTAAAATCTTAACATCAAAATATTTTTTAACGGTATATTTCAAACACCTGTCAATTAAAATGCACGCCGAACGACCGAATTGTGCATTGCAACAACTGCGACACCTGCAACCGCGACCGCAATTTAAAACTATGGTTTAAATGAATGCAAGTGTACAATTGATTTACATTACAGTGAGAGTGCATATGGTTTAAATCCAATCTGTAACCGAAACACAGTAATACACACCATGGCTTCGAGATATCGAAGTCTTTCCCTGCACATTTCCTCTCTAGCCTGCAAATCAAACAGAAAATCTCAATACCCACCAAACTTTTATTCAATTTTTTAAACGGGTCGAGTTTTTAATGATGAAAAATGAAGCACCCATTTTTCAATTCTATGGGGAAATTCAACAAACACATAGAGAGCATGGTTTGGAGTGAGAGAGAATTACGAGTTGGAGATCGTTGTAGAGAGGCTTGGAGATGAGAGATCCATCGGGAGCCAAGCAGTGGCGCTCTAGCTGATCGACGACGTGTGCTACATCGGCGGGGAGGTTTTGGCTGTGCAAACCCTTAACCATTGATCGAAACGGTGTCGTTTTTGGTTGCTAGGGAACGGAACGATGGTTTCAGTGTTGGTTGGTGGCTTAAAGTTGAAGATGAAGAGAATTTGAGTACAAGTTTGAGGATCTCGATTCTCAAACTACTGAATCATAAAAAGTTTGAAAATTTTAGAATCATTTGTGAAGTAGTAACACAAAATTCCCTCCTTTTTCGTGCCCTTTTTTCAACTAAATATTCCGAAACTTTTAATACTACGTTTGATTTTATTTATAAATTATTAGTTTTTTAATTCATTAGATAAAATAATAGGACCACAAAGAATAATACGTTTGGTTTTATGCAAAAAGTAATTAATTTTAATAAATCATAAATCCGTTATGTTAAATTGATAAGTATATCTGAAATGAGTTAAGTTGTAAAGATATCATTAACACTTACAAACAATAAGCTTTAATTTTAATCTTAATTTCAAGGATATTAATTCTTCTCTTTACTAGTGCATTAGCATAATAGTTGGCCTCCCAGTACACATGATTGATTTGAACATTCCAATCTTGCGATAAAAGAGATCTAATCTTCATCATCAAGTTCCTTCCTATGAAACATGCATTATTCTTGATATTGATGGCATTCATAGTGAATCAAGGTTAACTTTAACAGCTTCAAGACTTATAGTTTTTGCGAGCTTCAAACTTTCGAACAATCCCCAAAGCTCTGCTATAAATATAGAGTAGTCACCAATTTTTTTGCAGAACCTCCTAGTCATTTCCCTTCATGGTCTCTAATTAAACCTTTGCATCTTGCACTACCATTATTGTTTCTCGCTTCGTCGGTATTGAGTTTAACATATCCCATAGCAGAAGGTTCCCATTTGATAAGTAACATTTCTCGTTGTTGATGAACAATGGTGTGGGACGTTAGTTTTGCGTTATGGTAGTTCTGCAGAATCATGTACACTTGGTTCATTAGATTATGCTGTCTAATAAAACTATCATTGTGGAGTTCTTTGTTATGTCAATTCCATAAACTATGACAAACAGTTGCCCAAAACACTTTCCAATCTCCATCCACATTCCAACCCATATTTTAATTCAGATTTATGGCAATCCAATGATGCACATCACCTACGAAAAATATTTCTCACGTGTTAGTGTGCACTGTTGAAAGCCACAAAGGTGTGATTAGAGGGCAGTCCCTTAACACGTGTAATGTATCTTCTTCAATGTCTCTCCACAGAATCTGCACATTGCACTACCTAAGCCCATCTATTTCTTTCATCAATTAGTTAGCAAATCATTATAGCAAAAAAGCCAAATGAAACATTGAATCCTTTCAGGGGCTTGAATATGCCAAACTTTCTTCCATAATACACCTTCATGCTCACTATTATATTGTACAAGAAACTTGTAAACTCTTCCAACTAAAAAACCATGCATATCATCACCAATGTATATTCTTAAGTCACGTTATGCGTCAAGACAAGGCAGATGAATACTTGCAATTTTGTTTAAGATATTATCAGGAAGTCAACTCTCCAAAATCTGCCAGTTCTAGCTTCATGCATCATTTCGTAAATCTGCAACTTTTGCGAACCTTGTGTGATTAGGAATATCCATATCTTAGTCTTTGATTTTGAGACTCGATTCAATCCAACTGGTGGTCCACTCATAAATTGTATTACCATCACCTATAAACCAAAAGCATTCTTCCTTTATCATTGGCCATAGGTTAACAATGCTCTTCCATAAACTAGAATTTGTAGGTTTCTTACTAATCTCCTTTTCCGTTCCATGGCAATTGTATTTGCCCCAAAGGACATAACTACACAATCATTCCTTCCTTCATGAAGATTCCAACCTATTTTTAAGATGCAAGCTTTGTTCTTGTCATCTAATATGCTCAACTCTAGACCACAAATATCTTTAGGTTTAGTGAGGATACTTCACCTAACTACATGATATCTTCTTTCATCTCTTCCTTTACCCCATATGAACTTCCCTTGTAATTTGTGAATTTCCTTTATGCAAACTTTTGGTATAGTATTTGTCATCATTTAGTATATTGGTAATGCTTCTATCACACTTTTAGCAAGTGTAACTTTTCTGCAAAAGCCAATTGATATCCTTTCCACAAAGTGAGTTTAGCTTGCACTATGTCTTTGTAATCATCTTTCCTAGAAACCCTTCTAGTTAGAGGTACCCCTATATATTGCATTAAGAGCGTTGTATTAGTAAATCCAACTATTTGCACTAGCTGATCACAAACATTACGTTTGAAAATAAATTCTCGTCTTCTCTTGGTTCACTTGCTGCCCTGACATCTTACATAATTAATTCAAATTTCTAGTCACACAATGCATTTGATTTATTGTTGCTTCCCCAAAAATCAAAAGATTATTTACAAACATGAGATGGGAAATCAAAGGGCCTTGTTTTCCCACCTTAAAATCCTTCCATGTACCTTTATATGCTGCATGAGAAATAAGATGAGAAAGCTTATCTAGGCACAACACAAAGATGTAAGGGGAGATTGGATCTCCTTGACATATTCCCTTATGAGGCCTGAAATATTCAAATTTAGAACAATTCCACATAATATTTGTTTAAACACTAGTCATCACATGCATAATAAGATTGGTAGTTTTCATGGGTAATTGGATTTACTCTAGAATTTTCAAGGTAAATTCCAACTGAGCTTGTCATAGGCCTTAGAAAGGTCCACTTTAATTGCAAATTATCCTTTTTCCTTTCTTAGTGTGCATGCTATGAAATATCTCTTGAGCCACGATATTGTTTTCGTGAATATTTTTATTTTGGATAAATCCACTTTAGAAAGGAGATATTAATGTGGGAATACATTCCTTGAGACACTCCACTACAACTTTACTAACCACCTTATAGATGGTGTTGCACAAGGAGGTTGTTCTGAATTGAGTGACAAATTCAGGTTTATTTGTCTTAGTATAGCGGTAAAATCGATGAAGTCGCCACCGAGCATTTATTCATCCCATAAATGGAAAAGGAAAATCATCAAAGAAAAACCTAAAGGGGGAAATCAAGGTCTTGCGACCGAGAGATTGGGTAAGGGAGTCGATTATGCGAGGGGAAGGTATTAGCACCCCACACATCCATAGTACTCTACGGGATCCACTCTCGTTGTTCTAATCAAAGGGTGTGTTCAATCTAATTCTTAAGGGTTATAAACTAAGATGGAATGCATGCGAAGAAAACACAGGGAAAATAAGGAAATATTTACAAATTTTCGTTCGGCTGAGCCCTGTGACCAGATGCCTACGTATCCCCTTTAAGGAATCAGAGCGCCGTAGTTTGGCTCATATTTTTTGTTTGTTTGTATTTCTTAAATGAGCAATGTTGCATTCGATCATTCCACCGCTGCTTGACCTTTGGAGACTTATGACCTGTAGTGGAAAGGAGCTAACATGCTCTTAGAAGAGAAAAGCCGAATGGCGAAAAGAAATGTATTGGTTGGTATTTTTTACCATGAAAATAATTTTTTATATGCTTAGCATTTTTTATACATTGCCAAGAAAAAGAAATTTTAGTTTTAAATGCAATTATGCAAAAAATGGGGAAAAAACATTCAAGGGAGACTAACCTATCTCTAATCTAATGTTATCATACAATGAGGGATCCTATCTAAGTTAGCATACCAAAGCAAGTCTAACATACTATCCTATAGGGAACATGCACTGAGAGCGAAGTCGTGATCTCAATTTCTAAATTGAGTGACTCATCGATCAACAAGAAATAACAGAAAGCAATAAAACCTATAGGGAGAATGCACTGAGAGCAAAGTCGTGATCTCAATTTCTAAATTGAGTGACTCATCGATCAACAAGAAAGTAAACAAACACAAGCACAACACATATAGTAAATGAAGTGTGAAATGCCTGCTACAAGTCTTTAAACAGCGACTTCGAGCGCACGCTCTTTATTTCCTACTTCTCATGATATCTAGAAAGCAATAAATGCGGAAGTATAGCTTGGAAGCAGTATAATACCAAATGAACAATAAAGTCCGCAAAAAGCGCAACCAAAGGAGAGAGACTCGGAATGCTTCGCGCGAGCTGGCATCAACAAATAAACAGTCAGAGATCGAATATTTGGAATAGGTGTCGAAGCTTCATCAATGTGAAAAGTAAATCACAATAGGAATCGAAAACACATTCGCATATCAAATAATGAACCTGCATAAGACTCAGCTCAACAAGCAAGGGTGAATAAAAAATTTCAAGTTATCTAAAAATTCAGGAATAAATTTTCTAAAAATCAAATGAGAAATCCAACAAATTTATTGATTTTTTTTTAGTTTGTTACCTAAAATGATGAGAGGCATCCCCAAGATCTGTATTTTTTATTATTTTTATTATATGTATTTTGCTATTATTTTTATTATAAAAGAAATTTAAACTAAAACTAAACAAAATCTATAAAAAACATAGGAAATATAATTGATCATGGGGTGTTGAACTAGATTCAGGACGTGTATTGAAGTAAGGGCACTAAGCCCGATTAACTTGCAATCCAACAAGATTTTTGTGCCAAGGAAATTCTGAGTACCAAAAAAAATGGTGTATCGGGCTTAAGCAAGAGTAGTTCAGCCCCAATATACTGTATGATCCGGTCCAATCTGAGCATTCATCACCAAACTATTACTGCACTATTTGATTAGTATTGTACTTGAAATTAACAAAATAAAGTAAACAAAAACGATGAAATTTTGCGCAGTTAGGGTAAAAAAAGGAATGTGACGGCTCAGCTCTATACGATCGTGACTCTCTTCCTCTTTGATACGAAGCGCGACGAATACCATCTCAAACTCACCTCTCTTCATCTCCTTCAACCTCCAAACTCACGACCAACCTCGTCGCTCTCCCATTCAACTTTCGCAATTACGACTGCTCAACCTTCTTCTTCAAGAACGAATCACAGTGGTGCTCTCGTCCACCGCGATCTTCACTCTTCTCTGATCAATTTTCCCCCAATCTTCAGATTCG